ATTTTATGAAATAGATGTATGTTGGAATCTCTTCTCTTGTAGATCAACATGTGTGAAAAAACTCAGATTGTGGTAGTAGTTTCACTGAATCCTTGATTGTTTCTCTTCTCGTTTAGGCTCATAACCCTTGTAAGCTATGGTACTTTTCTTTATCCCTTGGTTTCTTTGAATATTGAATGTTTATGTTAACTGTTATGCTCCTAACTCTTGGTGAACATTCTAAATATGCTCATATTTTCTGGAATTCTGCATGATATGACGATGATTAAATGTTACGTTCTATGAGTGTCGTACACGTTGAGTTTTACAATAACAGTAATCGAGAATTCTCTGTTATGTACTTTTATTTTGAAGAAATTTTTATAAATTTATAATTATATTCTATATTATATTAAAACAGAAATATTATATGAATTTAAATACAACAAACACCGTTAATTAATTTGTTATATTTTTATATCTACAACTATATATATATATATATATATATATATATATATATATATATATATATATATATGTGTTTTTTTCTGGAACTCACAACTCTATATTACCCAAAATGATTTCTGTTATGTACTTGTGTCAATACCTTTGTCTTTTAGTCGTACATACTCGATGAAGCTTCGAAATCTATTGATTCATTATGTAGAGTTATTAGAAATCGCAACTGATCTTTTGTTGAGTTTTTTTTTATTATGTCACATTCAAGAAATATGTAGGTGTTCTAATCTCTCTTCTATTTACATTGACTATATTTTTTGGTTAAATGTTAAGTCGATTAAATGTTATGTCCTTTTTCGTTTTGTTCAACTTCGCTTTATTTACAAAATAATCTCCAGCTTTTTGAATTATTGTCTATTTAGAAAAAGCTGTAGATTTTTTGTAAATAAAGGAAAGTTGTTGTACATGGATTTTAGGCAAAGTATCAAATTGACAGTTTTAATTTTGTTGTTATTATGTACATGGACAAAAATGTTTTCATTTTATCTATGAATTATTACTTTTTTTTTTCATTTTTGTTGATCTTTAGAATATAGTTAGCCATTGGGTTGATTTCTCAATTCTTTCTTCTACATTATTTATAAACTCGAATAGATTTATTCTTGATGGTTGTCCTAAATTACACCCAATTAAAGGTTGATTTATGTTCATATAAAGGATAGAGAAACCTATGTGATTATATTCATCTTTCGTTTAGGAAACATCCATTCATTTTATAATGTTAATTTGTTTTACATCTATTTAATCAGTAATTTTTTATTTCAATAACTAGGATATTTTGGATCTGTGAACCTTTAAACCCTGAAGTCCAATACCTTTGTCTTTTATGTACTTGTGTCAATAACTTTGTCTTTTATGTACATACTCGATGAAGCTTCGAAATCTATTGAATCAGTATGTATTTATTAGAAATCGCAACTGATCTTTTGTTGAGTTTTTTTTTTTATTGATGTCACATTCAAGAAATATGTAGGTGTTCTAATCTCTCTTCTATTTACGTTGACTATTTTTTTTTTTTGGTTATGTTACGTCGATTAAATGTGTCCTTTTTTCGTTTTGTCCAACTTCCCTTTATTTACAAAAACATCTCCAGCTTTTTCTTGTTAGTTGAGTTACTATTGCATAAAAATAAGACTACTTGTTTAAATTGACAGTTTGAATTTTGTTGTTATGTACATGGACAGTAATGTTTTCTGTATTTTTTATGCTGTGTTAGAATATATGATATCATATTATCTATGAATTAATACTTTTTTTTTCATTTTTGTTGATCTTTAGAATATAGTTAGCTATTGGGTTGATTTCTCAATTCTTTCTTCTACATTATTTATAAACTCGAATAGATTTATTCTTGATGGTTGTCCTAAATTACATTATTTACACCCAATTAAAGGTTGATTTATGTTCATACAAAGGATAGAGAAACCTATGCGATTATATTCATCTTTCGTTTAGAATACATTCATTCATTTTATAATGTTAATTTTTTTACATCTTTTTAATTAGTAATTTTTAATTTCAATAACTAGAATATTTGGATCTGTGAATCTTTAAACCCTGAAGTCCAAACTATATATAACTTTTTTTTTGGAGAAAGTAACATCTGATTTCAAAGACTTCATCAATTTATCGTTAGTGTCGACTGAGTAGTTATTAATGTAAAAAATAATATATTTTTTTGTTAATTTTTATATTTTTGGTCGACACATAGACTCAGTATCCGTAAAATTGCATTGCTGCAAGAAGCATTGTCGTAATACATTCTTGGAGACTAAAAATTTGCGGTGGGTGCGGTCATACATAAGTGCAGTTTTGGGAAACGTTGTTGCAGTGGCGTTTGCAAGTATGTTAACACAACCATCTAGAAACAAGGCAGATATGATATTAGATGCTTTTTAATGATAATAGGTAACATACAAAACCAGTTTGGTTATATTTCTTCTCTGCTCAACCTAGGTTAGAGAATCAGATTCCAATAGACTATTATATAATTTTATCATAGAATCTTGGGTGTTATTACACAATCTCGTATTCTCTTGACCATAAACAAATCATACAACATTGTGCTCCATCGCCTCATGTCGGAAAAGGTTTGTTTGTTTGCTTGCTTTGTTAGATTATATTTCATTTTTTGTAGTTGGTTTGATGTTTGATGGTGAAAAGCAGAGGCTATGTTGTGTTGTGATGCGGATTAACTTGGATTGCAATGCTTGTTGTAGAAAAGTAAGGAGGATTCTCACCAATAGGAAAGGTTGGTATATATTGGTTATAATGTACAAACTGAAAGAAGGAATGGTATGGAATCAAAATTAAAGTCCATGCATAAAGTTTAGATGAAAAGCTAAGGAATGTGATACTAATACTATTAATACATGTTTTAAATGCGTTTATAAAGATGTCGAGACACACGTAATCGATAAAAAGGAACGCAAAATAATTGTTTGTGGACAATTTAGACCGTCGGATGTTGCAGTGAAACTGCAGAAGAAGATGAAACGGAGGGTTGAGATTCTTGAAATTGAAGATCTCTCTGGCGGCCACGGCGGAGAAGAACACTACCACCATGAACCACCGTATGAACCGCAACATGAATATCCCGTACAATCTGATCAGATGACTACACCTTTGTTGTGTTAGCTCTCTTTCATTTGTTTGGTCTTTTCTATCCTCTACAATGTATAAACACAGAAAAAACGAGTTACATAATTTCTTATTAAAAAACAACAAGTTACATAATTTCATACACATGGTATATTTTAGTTTGATGTCACAAATATAATTTCCACTATTTTTTTTTTGAAACTAGTTTCTACTATGTTACTTTTGCTGGTACATTATAATCCAAAACTAGGTGATCGAAAGCCTAAATTATTTTTCATTCTATGGACTTGAAAATATATTCTCAAATTACTATATTTCTACTATGTTACTATATTTTAAGATGCCATCACATTTTTTTCTTAAATAATTTATGATAAAATAAACATATTATTATTTATTTTTCTAAAATTATTTATGGGAACAGTAAACATTTCTTTCTGTTTGATCATCCTCAATATTGGTTTAAACATTGTCTTGTAGTATAAAAAAAAGGGAAATTGTTTTTTAGACCAAAAAATGGTAACATTGTCCCCTTAGGCTAATTTTTTTTTGTACCATTTTTTCCTATAATATCATTTATTAATTTTGAAAATAAATTATATAAATAGTTTTAGAAACCAAAAAAAAAACTAGTTATGAAACATCAATATCAATCTAGTGGTATTTTTTTCAAGTTCTAAAAATGTATAAATCTTTCAAATTATATTCTACATAAAGTAGAAGGGACATTCTACAAAGTAGAAAATGAAATCCACTTTTTTCATTGAATCTACTATATTTAGAATACACATTCCACGCTTAAACTATCCTTCTAAAATCAGTAGAAAACGGATTCTACACATTGCTATAAATCTAAAAATAAGTAGAACTCAGAATCTACAAATTATTATAAATCTAAAATCTGTAGAACCTGATTTCAAACCTTATTATTGTATTATACATATAGTAGAATACACATTCTACGGATAAGAATATTCTGTTCCGAAAATATAGGAAGAAAATATTTGAAAAATATTTTTTGATTAAAAAAATAATAAGTAAAATCGATTTTTTTATTAATTTTTTTTTTTAAAAATCATTTTTTTCATTAGAAAAGTTAAAAAAAAAACTGATGGGTTGATCCCAAAAACACGAATTAGTAGGTCAAATCGTGTTTACTCGGTTTAAATCAAGTGCGAATTAAATTGGATATAACCGAAGAAAACCATGAAATCAAGTTGGAAGAATTATCTGGAATAGGGATCGATCGATCTATAATAGAGATCGATCGATCTACCGAACTGGACAAGGTCGATCAGTTTCTGCTCCGTGTTTTTTAATGTTTTTGTTTAATCATCAAGATCGACCGTTGGGAGCGACTGCCTCTTTCTGGGATCGATCTATCCCGTCGTATAGAGCAGTTTCTTTTCTCGTTTTTTTTTTCCGATTTGAAATTTTTTTTTTTCTTAACCATTTTTAACTGAATTTATGGGCATTATTGACATTTAGAAAATACTTAATCTAATGGGACATAAAGTAACAGAGATTAACCTAAAGGACAATGTTATCATTTTTTTTTGACTAAAAAAACTATTTTCTCTATAAAAAAAGGTCCTTTTTAATCCAAAACTAACCGTATTCTATTCAAAAATCAAATAAAAAAGACTGCGTGACTCGTGAGTCGTGAGCTTGCCTACCTAATTCGTAGCGAGATCGAAAGAAAGAGAGGAAAAACAAAACCAATTGAATCTTCTTTAGCCCAAACCCTAATTTCGACGATCTCATGACCAAAGCACCACCGTCCGTCTCCATCTTCCGACGAAGCCGATAAACCACTGAAGCGGCACAAGCACCATCATCACAAACACCACCACAAGCGCGACGACGAGATTCCATCTGGCGGCGACGTGGCAGAGCTGATGGATTTCACACCGATTGTAATTAGTAAGGGCTGTGAGGATGATGTCGAGGAAGGGGAGATTCTAGATGAAGAGGGACCCGCCAATGATCTGGTCTGTTCTAATTTCCAATTCTTTTTGGATGCTGGGAGAAGTACAAAAGTGTTGATGTGGATAATCCATGTTAGTTATTCGTTACAGATGATAAAGCTTTGGTATTTTATTTGGCTCTTAACTATTTTGTGATCAGGTCCAGAAATGAGGATGATCAAAATGATAATGACGAAATAGTTATGTGGGAATTTCCAGAAGAAGAAGAGGTAATTCTTCATCCTTTATTGCAAAACTGTGCGGAAGGATGGTTTCGGATGATCTATTTAAGTATGTACTTTTCGTATTGTGTTTGAAGTTTTCAACTGGTTGTTAAGATATAGTTCTTGAATCTGAAAGTCAGTTGCATTTTGTATACGTACAGGCTGTTCCGCTCATATTGGTATGCATTAATGGCTGCTATTAGTTTTCAGTAGATTTCGTTGATTGAGTTTTTAGGGCAGTCTCATTGAGTCTTCTGTTTCTGTGCCAGATGATGTTCAAGAAGCTGGTGTGTCCCGGATTCGGACTGCGAATTCTGGTCCTGCCAAAGCTAACTCGGACTTTGATGCTGTAGTTGGTAATATTGCCAAGACATCATTAACAGCTAGTGAGCTACCTACTATGTTCGAAATTTTAGACTCAGAGAGGCCTCCTGCTTCAGCAGGGCTTGGCGACGGTAGCCCGAAGGAGCGTTAGCAAAGGAAATCTTATTGTTTCTGGTGTCGTGTGTGGTTGTGAGAATAAAAGTCCGGGCCACTGTGTTCGTTTTCTTTCAAGATTTAAGTACCGGAATCACCTTTGCTTGGTGTTTGAGTCGCGTTCCATATGAATCTTCGTGAGGTCTTGAAGAAGTCTGGCCGTAACATTGGTATTAAACTCCCTGCCGTTAGGTCTTATTCAAAGCAGCTATTCATTGCCCTTAAACATCTGAAGAGTTGTGGGGTTCTTCACTGCGATATTAAACCTGACAACATGCTTGTCAGTTATATTATACGTTTATGTGGTTTTCTCATACGTTATTCATTAGCTTCTAACAGTTTACAGTTACTCTCTTGTCCAGGTTAATGAGAACAAATACGTGTTAAAGCTTTATGACTTTGGCAATGCAGTGTTTGCTGGAAAAAACGAAGTTACACCATATCTCATTAGTCGCTTTTACAGATCCCCTGAAATCAGTAAGTTTTATTGTGTTGAGAATCATAGTATTTTTGAATTGTTAGTGAACATTTGATTGATTTATTGAAGTTTCTATCTTATTCCATGGCAGTTCTGGGGCTCGCCTATGACCATCCGCTGGATATATGGTCGGTTTGATGCTGTCTATATATGAGCTTTATTGCGGGAAAATTCTTTTCCCTGGCGCCATAAATAATGATATCTTACGCCTTCATATGGAACTGAAAGGGCCCTTCCCAAACAAAAATGCTTCGCAAGGTAAGCATTTACGTAGATTGATATCCAAAAGCCTTCCCAAGTAACCACTTTTCTTATAGAAGGAGAAATTAGAACATAACCGCTTCTATTCTTGTAAGTGTTCTTTTGGTTCAACATGGATTATTTATTAATCATCACTTTGATCAGGACTTGAACTTTATGCTACAGAGGAGGACACTGTTAGAGGGAAGGTAAGGATTCTGTCCTTATGTTTTTCTGGCACTTTGCAGTTTAAAAACCAATTGAGTGTTAGTTTTGCTATCTTTTCCTTTTTCAGATGATGAAGAGAATGATTGTAAATGTAAACCAAAAGATTTTGGTTCAGTTATTAAATGCAAACCAGTGTTTTCATACCCAACCCGAATCAGCGGTTGAACCGGTAAATCTGGTGACCGTAAATAATCCAATTCAGATATAACTAAAACTCCATTAATTAAAAACATAATAAAACCCGGTAATAACCCGAAATCTAGCATTAACCCATAACCCAGCACCTGTTAACCCGACAAAAACCCTACTTTTCCTTATAATATTTAAGAAAAAATTAAACTTTTCATACGTTTTTAATATTGCACAAATTTAGATAAACTATAAGATTTGTGATTCTTTAGACTTTAATGAAAGTTGTACATTGTTCTTCGAAAAAATGATAATAAAGAAAATCAAAATTTATTCATATGACAATGTTAGACTATTATTTTATTTTGTTATTGAAAATCCATTATAAGTTTGTATATATGATATAAAACTAATTTTATAATAGTTTTATTTAATTTATTATTAATTTATTATCTTATTTGTAGCTAAATTCATATTTGTTATTAAAATTTGATCAAATCATTTATTTAATGGTGGACTCAAATTAAAATAAAACAAAAAAATTAAATTTACTGAAAAAATTAAATATTGAATTATATTTTATATAAAATTTGATATGATCTTATATTATCCAAGGATTAATAATATCATGTTCATATATATTATAATTTATTAACCTATTGATCCGTGGTTCAATCGCGGTCGACCCAGTGACCTAGTAATCCAGAGAGTTATCCGGTCAGTGTCTGGGTCAGGTTTAAAAACATTGATGTAAACTGTTTTATAAATAATATTGTTATAAAAATATAAATTTATTTTACATACAAATACTCAAAAAATAATATGAGAAAAAATTAAATAAAATTATATCCTTTAAAAATGTGTCCTGAACAACCTAACCACCTGGATCACTTCTATGGCCCGGTCACATTCCTCGCAAATCAAAATCCTAAGAAAATTTAGCTATTTCCAAATACATTACTCGCCTTTCTAATCGAACCTCCCCAAAAATGAAATTCCCCAAAAGCCCCCCCCCCTCCCTAAAACAAAAGCAGTCTACAACAATGTACTAGAAACGGAAACATTAAACCGGTTGAATTCGGTTCTCCGGAACGAGAACCAGGTTCCCGCGTCTTCTTTCTCAACATACTGTTCTTTTTTTTGCTGAATTGAATATTAAAATTAATGCAAAGACAGAAGACACTGGGTTACATCATAGTGATGTGACTTTTGTTTGATTTTTTCTTGACAAATGTTAAAAGATAAATTTTTGCTGAAAGGCTTCTCAAATACGAGTTGAGAACCACACTCCTCAATTCCCCTCAAATATACAGACAGTTTCTCTTCCTCCTTTCCTCAAAAAGTGTATGATTAACCAAGTCACTCTCTAATCAGCGTGGGATATTCAAAGATGAGTACGGTCGATAAGATGCTGATAAAGGGTATCAGAAGCTTCGACCCCGAAAATAAAAACGTCATCACTTTCTTCAGGCCCTTAACCCTAATCGTCGGTTCCAACGGCGCCGGAAAAACTGTAAAATCAATCACTTAACCCCTCCCTCTCTATCGTCTCATTTTGCTGAGTTGTTTTGTTATTTCTTTTGCAGACAATTATAGAATGCGTGAAGGTTTCTTGTACGGGAGAGTTGCCTCCTAACGCGAGGTCTGGCCACAGCTTCATTCATGACCCTAAGGTCTGTCTGTAGGTTGAATACTAGACCTTTTTGTTGTCTCTGTTAATGAGTTACCTAAGTGTAGGCAAAATACAGTCTCTGCATTTTCAGTATTTTGATTTCTTCGGTTGTTTATCCTGTTGGCTCCTTGTACATTTTTTGGAATAAGATGTTCTCTTTTGTTATATCTTTTAATGAGTAATTGTAGGATATGTAAGAAACAATGTCTGCATCTTCAGTGTTTTGAGTTCCCCCTAAAGGGCTATGGAGGTTGTTGGTTGATTCCATTGGTTTCTTGGGAGATTTCATTGGAAAAGATGTTTTCTTTTTATTATCAGGTTACTGGGGAAACGGAGACTAAAGCACAAATTAAGCTGCGGTTTAAGACAGCTGCAGGGAAGGATGTGGTGTGTATAAGGTCATTTCAGTTGACGCAAAAGGCTTCAAAGATGGAGTACAAGGCCATTGAGAGTGTGCTTCAAACCATTAACCCTCACACTGGAAAGGTTGCACATGATTCTTGATATCACCACTCTTTGATTTGGTTGTTGTTTTTTTCTCCCTTCTTTGCTTAAATTGTGTTTTTTTTTTTTTTTACTTCTTCAATTAATATGATTTGATTACCTGTCTTCATGAAGGAAATCGCCTTACTGGAGTTCCGTTAAAGCTTTATTTTATATGTCTCCATTTTGTGCATGTTATCGTTCTATCAAGATCTTTTTTTTTGCTTCTAATTTTTCGCATACATTATCCAATTGCAGAAAGTATGTCTCAGCTACAGAAGCGCTGACATGAATAGGGAAATACCAACTTTGATGGGTGTGTCAAAAGCTATACTAGAAAACGTCATATTAGTGCATCAAGATGAGTCTAATTGGCCACTACAGTATCCTTCTACTTTGAAAAAAAAGTTTGATGATATTTTCTCAGCCACCAGGTATTTTCTATACTGAATGCATCACCTTATTTGTTCTTCTCTTATTATTCCACCAAGTCTAGTTGAGGCATCTTCCTGGATTCCGGGAAACACCTTACTATTGCAAAGCAACTTGGCACAATCACAAATCCATTGTACTAGTTATGGTGTAAGGGCGTGGTCTGTATTATGCATACACTATTGTTTCTCCTCCCTAGTGTTCTTTTATTCCTTTTCTTATACTTTTTTTTTTTGTACTTGAACTGATTTTCGCCTGAAGATGCCCAGACATCCAACTGAGTCTTTCGAAGAGAACAATGTTATAGAGTTTGGCAATGAAGGATTTGCAAATTGACTTGTTATCATTTGTGCTCACTTCCTTATCGAATTTGATACATCTGTTGTAGACGAAACCGCTTCCCAGAAACTGTAACATGTGTGTTTTAACGTGAAACAGATACACAAAAGCGTTGGAGGCTATTAAGAAACTTCACAAAGATCAAGCTCAGGAGATAAAAACGTATAAGTTGAAGCTGGAAAATCTGCAGACATTAAAAGATGCAGCTTACAAGGCATGCTGGATAGTAACTTGTTTGACATTAATTATTATTTTCACTTTCAGTATCACTGGTCACTGATGGAGATTGTTTTAGTTCTAAAAGCTGTTTTATATAAGTAGTGCATACATGTCCTTGGATTCTGTGGGTTACTCTTATGACATCATACTCTTACAGCTTCGTGAGAGCATTGCTCAAGATGAAGAAAGAACAGAGTCTTCAAAAGCTCAGATGTCGGAACTGGAAAACAGCATTCAGAAATTGGATGCTGAACTTCATAATAAGCAAATGATGTTAAAGGATCTGAGAAAGCTACAGGACCAAGTTTCAAGAAAAACTGCCGAAAGGAGCACCTTATTTAAGGAGCAGCAGAGACAGTATGCAGCACTACCCGAAGAAAATGAAGGTTTTCTCTTTTACTATCTGATGTTAATACATTTGCTTTCTTTTAGGTGGTCATTGTCACAGTGGTTTGTCCTTTTGTTCTTTTGTCATGTAAACGAAATCTGAGTGTAAGATTGTTGTTGTTCAGATTCTATTGAAGAACTGAAAGAATGGAAAAGCAAGTTTGAAGAAAAAATTGCTATTTTGGAGACCAAAATTCGGAAGATGGAGAGAGAGATGGAAGATACAGAAACTACAATTTCGTCTATTCACAAAGCAAAAACCAGCTATATGCTGGAGATCAGCAAGCTACAAACAGAAGCTGAAGTAAATCTAACAAAGCTACGACATACTTATATAATATATTACGAGTTCTGTTCCATTTGGTTTAACCTTTTGTCTTTTTAAACATAGGCTCATATGCTGCTGAAGAATGAGAGAGATGCTTCCATCCAGAAAATGTTTTCCCATCACAATTTGGGAAATGTTCCTAGTACCCCTTTCAGTACTGAGGTCGTTTTGAATCTCACAAATCGAATACAATCAAGACTGGTTGAATTTGAAATGGACTTGCTGGATAAGAAGGTACTCATCCTTTGTTTTCCCCTAGAGTCAACTCTTCTTTGCATCTGTTGACATCTTAAGACATTCTGAATGTCATCTCAGAAATCAAATGAGACTGCTCTAAGTACGGCTTGGGATTGCTATATGAACGCTAATGATCGTTGGAAAAGCATCAAAGCTCAGAAACGAGCTAAAGATGAAATCAAGGTGTGGTTCACCAATTGGGATTCTAGCCAAACCCCTCCAGTAACGAGCCTAAAGTTTAACACATATATATATATATATATTTTTTTTATGTTGACTTATGCAGAGAGGCATATCAAAACGCATCGAAGAGAAAGAAACTGAACGTGATTCATTTGAATTCGAGATATCCAATGTGGATGTTCAACAAATTGATGAACGAGAAAAACTAGTGGTATTGCGTTCGTTCCCTTGATCTATTTACATGATTTTGGTCTTGATGAGTTTGCCTTTGCTATCTTTGCCTTATTTTTCCGTTGCACAGCAAGTTGAGCTTGAGGAAAAGTCAAAGCAAAATTCTGAAAGCGGATTTGAATCCAAAATAGAACAGAAACAGGATGAAATATACAGCATTGAGCATAAAATCAAGACTCTGAAAGACTTTATGGCTGAGGATAGAGTGAAATATTATTTGAAGAAGAAAAAGCTGGAGAATCTCCGGAAGCGAGACAAAAAGATGTGATCTCACTTACTAATGCGTTCCTCAACTTTCTTTTTACCGGTTCATTATTTTGACTTTCTAATGTTATTTACCAGAAACAATGAGTAACTCGAGAGTTTCTGAGGTGGTGCTTTCACTTAATTTATTTGCTTGTTGTGATTCTCATTGAATCCTATAGTAATAACTTACGATTCTCTTGATCAAGATCTGAAAAGGTGTTCAGAAGTTTTCTCATTTACGATTTTGTTTGTATTTGTTTCCTCCTTGGTTTAGGTCAATTGAAATGAAACATGATGACCTGATCTTAAAATCCCAAGAAGCAGAAAAGGAGGTGAACTTGTTGCAGGTGAAGATTCAAGAAGTAAAAAATAGCCTATCCAAGCATCACAAGGATACAGAATGTAAGCGTCAGTTTTCTGACTTGAGCCTTAAGTTGTTGATAAAATGCATTTGACAGATTTGTAAGTTTTCACCAATGACAATTGATTCTTTAATACAAGATACCTTAACTGACATATATTACACAGATAAGGAGTATATGATTGGCGCGCACAGTGAAACTATTTGATAATAATATCTATGCACTCAATCTGACTTGTGTATCATTACATTAATGCAGCAAGAAAGAGATACATCGAGTCCAAGCTTGAAGCCTTAAAACAGGAATCATTTACCATTGATGCTTATCCTAGATTGTTGGATTCGGCGAAGGACAAACGAGACTACCACAAAAGGTTTCCGGTTGAAAATTGCAGACTATTTTTACATACACCATTTCATGCTTTGCGTCAATATCAAGATATTGACGTCTTGTATTCAAAGCCTAGTTCTGTTTCTGCTGTGTTTGCAGCAAATATTACATAGCAATTAGTATGCGCCATATGTGTGAGCCACTTGAGCAGGTAGCCCGTGAACATCATTTTTGTCCTTGCTGCGAGCGCACTTTTTCAGCTGAAGAAGAGGATAACTTCGTTAAGAAGGTTAGAAAATTTTCTTTTGTAGATTTTTTTCCTTTGAATCATACTTTTCATACTATCTATGCTTCTGGAATAACTTTTTGTATCTTCCTTCATTTGGTGATTTTCTTTTCGACTACAGCAAAGGGCTAAGGCTTCAACCACGGGGGATCATGTCAAAGCATTAGCAGCAGAATCTTCAAACGCTGACTCTATCTTTCAGCAGCTGGATCAACTTCGCTCAGTTTTTGAGGAGTACACGAAACTTACTGATGAAATTATTCCTTTTGCCGAGAAATCTTTGCAAGAATTTACAGAAGAGCTGGAGCTGCAGTCTAAAGCCCTTGATATTGTGAGTTGGGGCACTCTAGAAATATCCTTGGATATAACTAACTGATTTACAGCAGCGAAATCAATTAGTCATTAGAAATATTGCTGTTTTCTGATTTGCTATGTTTCCTCTGAATCATGTTGTGATGCAAGCTGTAAATCCTAATTTTTGTTCATATCTTCTCACATCATATATCATCAATATTTCAGGCATTGGTAATCTTAGCGCTGAAAGAAACTGATAAAGAATTAGTTGAAGAACGTGTTCAGTTGCTGGAACTTCTTGATAATAGGCTTGCACTGGACTTTGAATGCATAAAGAAGCTAAACAAGTCAGAATTGCGTAGACTCCAAAGCACCAAGTACGGTAAATTTAAGCAGAGTAAAACATTATATTTTCCTTGGATATATATTGGGTTTAGCATGCACAAATTTTTCTATGTTTTCCTTTCTTGTATACCCATGAACAGGGATAAATTGCACGAGGAGCTGGAGAAATTAAGGGATGAAAAGATTTACATGGAACTTGATATATCAGGCCTCCAGGCCAGATGGCATGCACTAAGAGAGGAGAAAGCTAAGGCTGCCAATTTGTTACGCGACGTTACAAAGACAAAAGAAGACCTAGAGCGTTTAGCCGAGGAGAAAATTCAACTTGACCTACACATTAAGGTGCGAGTTTTCTTTACACTGTTTTCCACTTGTCTTTCCGTGTGTCACTTGTATGATTTCATCAGAGTACATTTTGTTCATTAGCGAGTACTGGAGGTTCTAATTTATTAGGTCCATGATCATGGATTAGAGTTCACCAGTGTGAGGATGTGATTAGTGTATCATTTTTTCTTCTGAAAAAATATTCTTCCTAGTAATACAATGCAATGGGACAGCTTCCACGAATAGCAGTAACGGTTTCTCGTGTAGATGGTTCATTTTGTGTATTTGAAAAGCTTCAAGTAGATATTGTCTATGCATCCATTGAAATGTGATCAAGTAGTTTTAAAAACATGCAAAATGTAAACTTGGTCTTCCCTATTTCCTGTTCACGCTTCAAATTTTTTTCAATCACTTTTATGTGTAGAACCCTTAAATGTAACACAATCTTCCTTTTTCATTATTTTCAGCATTTGGCCGAGGCTTTGGGCCCTTTATCCAAGGAAAAGGAACAGTTACTAAGTTTTTACAATGTTATGAAAGTTAAACGTAATCAAGAGTATGAAGAACTGGCTGAGAAAAAGAGAAACTATCAACAAGAAGTTGAGGCATTACTCAAGGCCAATTCTAAGATTAATGAGTATGCTCTGTTAACCAAAGGTTAATTCATCATTATCATGTGTACCATTTTGACTTACAGCTGCTTCACCAGGTATCATGAACTGAAGAAAGGAGAGCGGTTAAATGATATTCAAGGAAAGCAGCGGGTAGCTGAATCCCAGCTTCAGAGCTCTGAATCTAGAAAGAATGAAATTGCAGCTGAACTGAGCAAAAGTAAAGACTCGATACGGAATCAAGATCAAGTGAGAAGAAACATAGAGGATAACTTGAACTACCGTACAAAAAAAGCACAAGTGCTTACGGGTGAGATTGAATCACTGGAAGCGGAAATCTTGAATATTGGTGGGATACCCGCAGTTGAAGCTGAAATTGTAAAGATATCGCGGGAAAGAGAAAGACTTCTTTCAGAGGTACGCAGCGTCTTATATAATTAAAGCAGTCCTTCTTATTATAAACGTAAACTGAAAATGATTTTGGTGCCTATCGTTAGCTAGTCATTTGTTGTCCCTGATGCTAAGTTAAAATCTTGCAGTGTCCCATATTTAACCATTTGATATTCTAAGTGGTAGGTTTTTTCTAAGTTTAACCAAATAATATTTAGTTGACAAGAAAGGTTCTCTCATTAATCGTACTGTTCGCAATTAGAACTAATGTTGTTGTGCTTGAAGAATAATTCTCTTTTTATCTTGTAGCTGAACCGGTGTCGTGGAACAGTGTCTGTTTATGAGAGCAGTATTTCAAAGAACAATGTGGAGCTTAAACAGACACAATACAAAGACATAGATAAGCGGCACTTTGATCAACTGATCCAGCTAAAGGTAAGGCACGATATTATTGATCAACGAGTTCGACTCTATGTTCAGAAACTAAACATTTCATTTTGGCCAGACAACTGAAATGGCAAATAAGGATTTGGATAGATACTACAATGCCGTTGACAAGTAAGCTGTTCTTGAGTCTTTATAGAAGCTCGTGGCTAGTTTCTTTTCATTCTACACTATCCTATCCTTTTGACAATGATTTTATCTGTAATTTTAACGTGTATTTTAATGATATTGAATATATACAGAGCACTAATGCGATTCCACACAATGAAAATGGAAGAGATAAATAAGATTATAAGGGAGCTGTGGCAGCAGACACACAGAGGTCAAGATATTGATTACATAAGAATACACTCAGATTCCGAGGGTGCAGGCACGCGCTCTTACAGCTACAAGGTACGCTACAGAACTGATGTCAGGTTCTTACCATCTGATATATCACCATTGACATTGTGGTAAAACTCTCGTCTTTATAGGTCCTTATGCAGACTGGTGACACAGAACTTGAAATGAGAGGAAGATGCAGCGCAGGTCAAAAGGCGAGTTGTTCTAAAATCGCTCTTGTAGAAGCAGCATCATTTCCTATTTTATTTTCATTTAACTTAAACTAAGGTGATCATTTTCTTCTCCTCCAGGTTCTTGCTTCATTGATAATAAGGTTGGCTTTGGCCGAGACTTTCTGCCTAAACTGTGGAATATTAGCGCTTGATGAGCCAACAACAAATTTGGATGGTCCCAATTCAGAATCTCTTGCAGGAGCTCTTCTTAGGTAATAATAATAAAGATCTATACCTTATATGAGTTATGATGATGACACATGGGTACGTTCCTCATCTTAACACTGGAATCATTTGTATTTACTCTGGCTTTGGCCATAATGTTTTTGTTATCACATTACAAGACCATGGATCTTTAGCACTAGATGTTATTACGTCACTGTAATTTTTTACAGGATCATGGAAGACAGAAAGGGCCAAGAGAATTTTCAACTCATAGTCATTACTCACGACGAACGCTTTGCTCAGATGATTGGTCAACGCCAACATGCTGATAAATATTACCGTGTCGCCAAAGATGATATGTAAGCCAAAAACGTTCTTACTCATCATTCTCATCTCCTCTTTATATTCTTGATCTTAAACTTCTGACAACTCTTGATCTTTTCAGGCAACACAGCATAATCGAGGCCCAGGAGATCTTTGATTGATGAGGCTGTTGCTCGTCCTCTTAACCAACATAACAGCACTAGCCAGTCATCTTTTTAAAGCTATGGGTAGCTTTCTTTGGTATGTTATTTAAATTCTACACATGGTTTGGTTAGATGTGTGCAAAATTGTCAAACTAAAACATCGAAGTTAAGTTAATGGTTTGATTCAACTTTTTGTCTTTTCTTTATGAACGTAAAACATCATTACAAATAGGGGTGGGCACAAGCCGAGTATTTGGTGTTTTCGGTATACTTAGTACTCGGCTTTGCTTGTTCAAGTATTCAAATTTTGGATTTGTACTTGATTTGTTAAAAACGAGTACTTGCAGTTCTAAGTACTTGCGAAAAATTGATGGACTTGCAAATTATTTGCTTGTTTTATTACTTGTTATTTGTAATTTTTTTTACATATTACTTGTTAACTATTGGTAAATTATTTGATAATTAATTAAAATTTAAAAGTAAATAAATTTATTAAATATAAATAATATGTCAATTTTTTCATTTTGTCATTATTTTCTGTTTTTTAGTCATTTGTGAAATAGATTATATTAAGAAAGAAAAAATTCCAAAATGTTTATATAAATATTTCATTTGATTCACTTATAAAAATTGAAATATAAAGAAGTTGTTTTACTATGATTTAGGAAAATGTATCTTTATTTATTAACAAAAACGAATAATAAACCAAACAACACTGAATAATTATTTTTATTTTATTATTTTGTATTTGTTTGTATTTGAAAGCAGTTTAGATATACTACTTGATATACGTCTTAGTCAAAATAAATATTCGATTTTAAAGATTGTGTATCAACCAAGTAGTGAATATGAGACAAGTAACAAGTAATTGTGACCACTTACAAATAATTAATAAAATATATAATAATATTTAATAAACCAAATAAAATATGACAAGTAAATGATAACTAATAATAAACCAAGTAACAAACCAAATATTTAAAAATTAAAATGAACTTGATACTTGACTTGTATTTACGAGTAATAAAATCTGTTTACTTGTTACTCAACTTGATTAGAGCAAATTGTTTTTTCAAACCAAACCGAGTCAAGTAACGACTACAAACCGAGTATCAAACATTTGTGCCCAATCCTAATTATAAAACCAGCTATTAGCCCCATTGTTAATAGCTTCATTTCAGACGCCTTTTGATTTTTTTTTTTCGAACATAGAAATGAAAGTTAGTAGATAGGAGTAGCAACAGGAGTGAAACGGAGCAACGTCTTAGAATGGAGCCATGGTTGAACCACCACAACTGAGTCAAACATCCTACTCGTACCATCGGGCTGAGTCACTTCAATCCTCAGATAGTATTTGAGACCAGCTACGACCTGTTGCTGAGCCGACACAACTCGTCTAAATGTCAATGGATTCGACACAGCCGTTTCTCTTTTCGTAATGGATGATGCTACGTTTCCTTACTCGCTCTGTTCCTGTAGATTGAATTGTTCCATGCAGTACCTGTGAACAAAATAACATTTTATCTTTTGAAAATTTGAATTTTTTTTATTTTTCAAAAATTGAAATCTTATCCCCAAAACCCCATTCCCCAACTCTAAACCATAAAACCTAAATTCTAAACCCTAAATTCTAAGCCCTAAACTTTAAACCCTAAACCCTGAATCCCACCCCTTAACCCTAAATCTAATGTCTAAATTAATTTATCAGTGAGATATAAATGTATATTTATCTCTTTTGATAAAATATTAAGTGTTATTTTGGTCATTTTTATTCTTAAATGCTATATTTGTGACAAAAACTTTTTTAGTGTTATTTTAGTCATTTTCTCAACCCAAGTCTATGAAGTCAAACCCAATCCCATATACACTAGGGCTCTCAGCAAGAAAGCTTTGTTATATTAGACCTGGGCTTAATATACTGAAGCTGAAGTCCATAGTGTAACCCGCACCGAAGTTTCGGTTTTGGATTGGTAGCCCATATATTTCTGCTATGGTCCGGTCCAGTTTCAAACCGAGATTAAGACAAGGTAACCGAAACATACCGATCATTTATATATTTTTCTTACATATACATACATTCATTTATACCGATATAAAAACTCATCTGTCTCTTCTCTTTCACGCGTGAGGCGAGAGGCGTGATTTACAAACCCTAGTTCCAAAAAAGCCTCTTCGGTTATCGATCATCGATATCGTCATTAAGAATCTCAAACTGGCCTCTATAAATGTCTTACCATCTCCATCTTCTTCTTCTTCACACAAGCAATCGAGAATCCAATGAGAGGTTATCTTTCTTTCTGTTTCTCCAGTTCTTCTTTGTGTTCTTATTTTTTTTTTAAGTTGAATCGAATAGGTTATGTCGTTATGATCTAAATGTTAAATCGAATCGGTTATGATCAGAGGTTTTGATGTTAATTTTTGTTTTGTTTTCAGATGGACTCAACATCATCACTTGGCCGAGATACCAGAAACAAAGAAGATGCTGGAAACGTTCAAGATCCCAATAGTACCCAGACAAGGAAAGAGTCAGAGAGAGCTAGTGGAGCCACAAGCAAAGTGAAGCGTATTCTCCCTCCAAGATCCGACGTTTAGTCAAGCTACACAAGGACTACAGAAGACAGAAACAAGTGTGTTTGCAACTACTGTCAGAACATATTTCTATGTCTCACGTCCAATCTAAGGAGCCATCTTGAGAAATGTAAGAGCCATCTTGCTTGGTTGGCTGGACAAAAAGATCAGCAAGCAAACATTGGTGAGGAAGGGAGACCTAAGAAGGCTAAGTTGACTGAAGGTCAGTTGAGAGAAGCCACAAATCAGATGGTTATCTTAGGATAATTGCCGTTATCATTCGTTGAAAGCCTAGCATGGAAACAATTTTGTAAGAAGGTTAGTAATGTTTATTTAATGTTCTTAAACTTATGATAATCTTCAAGTATCATATTTAGTTGTAACTAATGTCTTCTTTTGTATGATTGTATGTAAACTTTGGGTACACTCCTCATACAAGAAAGACTGCGAGAAAAGACATTAACAAGATGTATGTGGAAAAGAAGGATGCACTCAAGAAATGGTTCTTGAGAAGCAATCAAAGAGTGTCTTTGACAACAGATATTTGGGTCTCTCAAACAACTGGTAAATTTTATATTTTTTACATCTCTCAATTCCTTTATACAGATTAGTAATTTTAGAAAGATGATCATGGTTTTTTTATTGAATTATGTATACAGGTGCGAGCTATATGGTCATCACAGTGCACTACATTGACCATTTATGGCAGTTAAAGAAGCTGATCATTGGGTTCAAACACATCTCGGATCACAAAGATCAGATTATTGCCAATGTCTTACTAGAGTGCTTGTCTGAATGGGGAATCATAAATGTGTTCTGCATAACTGTCGATAATGCTACTGCCAATAGTTCAGCTTTGAGGAAGTTTCAGAGTAGTTTTGTCCTTGGTTCAGATCAGGCTTTTGTATTAGATGGGGAGTTTTTACACCTGAGATGTAGTGCCCATATAATTAACCTGATAGTTAAGGATGGAATGGCTGAAATAGATCACAATGTAGTTGCTATACGCAATGCTGTCTCCTATGTTAGATCGCATGCTAACAGGTTGAGCTCTTTTGAGTTGAAAGTGGACTCTGGTAAGATCACAAGGGGAAGTCTACCTTTGGATGTCAAGACAAGATGGAATTCTACCCACCTTTTTAATCTTGGTTATCTTTTTAATCTCGGTTTCAAGTTATCTTTTTTTTTTTTGCAATTTGAAGACTTGTTCTTGGTTTGAATGTTGGTTTTATAGACACAAATTTTATTTTGCTGTTGTGTTTAAAACTTGTGTTTCAGTTGTGTTTTGGTGTGTTTGAACTCAGTTTGTTTCAATGGAAATTTCGGATGTTTGGTTAAGTTTGGTATATTTCGGTTTGTTTGGTTATTTTTAATTGACTATGGTTGTTAAAAACCGAAACCACACTGGAAACGTAGTGTTATCGGTTGGTAGTGGATTTTGTTTCCTTCAACCGCACCGATCCGAAACCGATTGATTCCAAACCGAAACCATTCTTCATTATAGAAAATACCGATTAGTACTTGAGCTCTGTGAACCTAGTCCGAACAACCGATTCAACCAAACCGAAATCGAACGGTACACTGAAGTCCCATGCCTAGTTATATAAAGGTTGTGACATGTTTTGTAATAAGTTAACTTTGCTGCAAAAGGACAATATTCTAATCTCCCCTACAACCTCTTAACAAAATTCTAATATGTCCCAGTTATTATACGCAATTTCTTTTTGATTTTTTAAAATACCAAAACATCTATAAAAACATAAAAGAGTTTGAGGAATCTCGTAAATTATAGATCCAACTAGACTTTAGCTGGATTATCCACACCCAAACCCATATAAATCGGATCCTACACGTAATTAATTCTTGCGAAATTAGATGCAGTAGCTATGAAAAAAAATATTAATAGTTTAGCCAAAATTTCACTCTCTCTTCCCTCTTTCTTCCTATCTCTCTCTACTCTTTCTCTTACAAAACTAATTTTGTTTTTGGCTATTTCAGAAATAACCCCTTAATTCTTTATCGATCCCTTCATCTCTCTCTTCATCTTTTTTTTTCTTTTCTTCTTATTCCATTCCTTTATCTCCTCCCCTCTGTTCTTTATTCTTTTCTGATTTCTTCTGCTTCAGCAGAAGTAAGAGATATTGTGTCTTGCTTCTTCGTTTTCCATGAGATAGAAGAATGACCGAGAAGGACTATGTAAGCACTCAAAGAGCGACGAGAAAGAGGACATGCATTCCAGTCAGAATCGCAGTATGCAGTGACACGCAAATTCGAGTCTGCTCGTAGGAGAACACCTTGACCGGGAGAACCTTTTGAGATATTTAACAATTCGTAAAGCTGCATCCCAATGTTCCTGCAAGGGTTTCTTCATAAATTGAGAGAGTATGTGGACACCGTAGCATAGTTCTAGGCGTGTAAAAGTGAGATAGATAAGTCTCCCAACAAGTCGTCTGTAAGCCTGAGGGTTGTCCATAACTGGTCGGTTGGCTGCTATGACGCTGTCTATATGAGCTTTATTGCGGGAAAATTATTTTTTTCTGGCACCACAAATAATGAAATGTTACGCCTTCATATGGAACTGAAAGGCCCATTCCCCAAAAAGATGCTCCACAAGGTAAGCATTGAAGAAGATTTGATATCCAAAAGCCTTCTCAAATAACCGCTTTTCTTAGAGAAGTAGAAATAAGAACATAACCGCTTCTATTTTTGTACTTATGCTTGTGCTTTTGGTTCAACAAGGATTATTTATTGATCAGCACTTTGATCAGGACTTGAACTTTTACGCTACAGAGGAGAACACTGTTGGTGGGAAGGTAATGATCAAGTCCTTCTGTTTTCTCTGGCACTTTGCAGTTTAACATACCAATTGAGTGTTAGTGTTTTGCTATCTTTTCCTTTTTCAGATGATGAAGAGAACAATTGTAAATGTAAAGCCAAAAGATTTTGGTTCAGTTATTCAATGTTACCCTGGAGAAAATCCCAAGATGCTAGCTCATTTCAGGGATCTCTTAGATAAAATGTTCATCCTTGATCCCGAGAAGAGACTGACTGTGTCACATGCATTAGCTCACCCATTCATCACTGGCAAGTGAAAGAAAGTTTCCGTTCTCTCTTTCTCATATCAGGAATTGCTGTTGTTCTAGATATTTATACATACACATATAAGTTTAAATTTAAGGTTCTAATCTTTGAATTGTCTGCATCTTGTTTCTGTTTCCTGAGAGCTTCTGTTACAATGTGGCATATTGTAAGACCTGCTAGTGCCGCTTTATTTCTTAGTACTCATGTGTAATCTAATTGCGGACTTTACTCAATGTAGAAGTCTATGTTTGGAAACATTTCATCTGAATAAGGAGAGGGCCATTTCTGAATCATATTTCGTTATATGGAAACTCAGTGACTTGTATTTGTGATAGTGGAGTACTTTATGTCCTTTTATGGTCTTCTTGAGGGTCTGATGTTGTTTCTCTCCAGGACATCTACCATCGCTTAGATATTCTTCTGAAGTCTTTCGATCCTTTAAAGGCACACATGAGAAGGTACAGTGGTTGTTTTTGGGAGTATTGCGAACATTTTTCTATTTGCATTGTGATACACGCTACGGTATTACGTACCAAAGAAAGAAGAAGTAGTTTTCCTTAAAACATTAAGAATGGAGTTTTGGTGTTTTTCCTTTTAAACGTTTAAGTTAATTTCCTATTATAAGTAAGGCTAGGGATTTGTAATAGCCTTATATAAAGACATCTAACTATCAATAAAGATCTATCTTCCAGCATTAACCTTATTCTCAAGAGAGACTAGGG